TCCATGGTATTAATTAGTACAAACAAAAATTACATAAGCTTGTAACCCTCGTTACGAGTTACCATAGCAACGGCGACGCCAAGGGGAACTCGCGCACACACACACAAACAGACTAGAGAAGTGCACTTTTATAAAGTCAATAACTAGACGTGAAGGCGTCAGTCCTATTCACTTTACGATAAACTAAATACAAATCTTGTAACCCAAAATAATTGCCGAAATAAAAAAGAAGACGAGACCATGTGGAATCACGAAGAGGAAAATGAGTATGACATGCCAGACCTTGCCACTGACGATGTCGAGTGTGTTTCGGATAATCTTGAGGATGACGGAAATGGCAAAGACTTAAAATCGGCTGTGAATTTATGTCAGGAATCCTCCACTTCTCTGATGACCACAGTTTCTTCTCTAAGAGCGCAGGTATCAGCACCAACTACTTTATATTTATTCATATTGAGCTTATCGAAAAGATCGATATGCACGTACACATGCACGTACACGTACACATACCGTACATATTAACATACACACTAACTGTACACGTACACATACACACACACTCGCTCGCAGGCATGCACACACATCATAATAAAAAAAAAAAAAAAAAAAAAAAAAAAATAATAATAATAATAGTAATAATAATGATAATGATAATAATAATGATAATAATAATAATAATAATAGTAATAATGATAATAATAATAGTAATAATAATAATTATAATTAAATAATAATACCAAAAATAATGACAATAATAATAATAGTAATACTGATAATAATAGATAATAAATATAATGATAATAGTGATAATGATAATGATGATAATAATTTTAATAACAATAATAATAATTATTGTTATTTTCATATTAATTATAATAATGATGATAATAATTAGTGATAGTAATAATAGCGATAATGGTAATTATAAAAAATTAAATAAACAATACTTACTGTCAAGGTCTGTTGATAATTGTAATGATAAGAATGGTAATTATAATAATAGCAGTAATAATAATTATGATAATAACATTATTATTATTAATATTTTTATTATTATCTAATGTGATAATAATGATTAGGATAATAATAATGACAATTAAAAAAAATAATGATAACGATAATAATGATCACGATCATAATGATAATGGTGATGATAAAAATAATAGTAATAATAATAAAACAATAATAA